CGGGGGCCGAGCGCGGCCTCCCCCCCTCCCCGCGCCTCGGAGCAGCCGCGGGGAAATGCAGGCACTTAGTCATTTAGAGGAATTTTTCACTTATCTCAAAGCAACAGTGTAATTGTCTAACTACCACCTACGAAACAAAAAACACCTTTATAGCCCTTCCTGTATTGTCAACATACACATATATATTACTCTGGCATAAAGCAAGGCCCCGGGGGGCTTTCAGCATCCCGCCCTGCCTCCTCTTCTTCCCCTGCCCGATGTGCATCCTCCTCTGCCCTCAGCGGGCGAAGCAGCCGGGGCGGCGCGGGCAGCTGCCCACCGCCGGGGATGTGCTGGACGGTGGCACAGGGGGCTTGGGACGGAGTGGGTGGCGGGGCAGGGACCCCGGGCATGGCGGAGAGCTCTGGGGGTCGCGTCGTGCCGGGCAGCCGCCTCCAGGGACACAGGAGCGCGGCCGGGGGCTCCTCTGCCAGCCCCGGCGCTGGAGGCTGCGGGCAGGGGCTGCAGAGCTGCGCCTGGAGGGAGCCGGCGTCGGCCCTGGGACGGAGCAGGGCTCGGCCACAGCTACTGCCCCGAGCGGGGGACTCCCCTCAGCGGCCAGGGCTGCGATGGGGGGAGCAGGCCGAGACGAGGGCGCTGAGCAGCAGGGTGCAGCCCGCAGCCCGCTGAGGGAGGACGGGAGAGCTGCTGAGCCCCGGGCAGAGGCTTGGGATGGACTGAGAGCTGCCGCAGGCTGTGCCGGCACCGAACAGCGGCAGGGCCGGGGCCACGGGCTGGCACAGCCAGGCAGACCCCGGCCTCCGGCTGCAGCGAGCGTGGGCAGGGGAGACGCTGCCCGCATGGCCCTGAGGGGCAGTGGGTGCCCGGGTGAGCCTCCTCCATCCCGCCTGCATCCCCTCGGTCCTCGCAGGGGGCGCAGAGCCCCCGGCCTGAGGGGACGCCTGCTTCAGGGGCACAGAGCCAGGAGAGGAGCAGGACAGTTTTGGGCTCCGGCCCCCCACGCACAGCCTGCCTGGCCCGGCCAAGGAGAGCACCGCTGCGCCCTGCTCCCTCCCTCCGGCCCTGTCAAACCAGGGCATGGGGACGGGCCCCACACCCGGAGCCCCCTCCTCTTTCTGTGGATGTAGCGGCTGGACCAACACCCCTCGGTGCTCCTCCATCACCAGGATCCCCGCTCCTCGCCCCACCGAGCCCCCGGGGCACAGCTGGGTTCAGAGGGGTGGCCTCGGGCCCTGCTCCACCGGGCAGGTCCAGGGGCCTGGAGAGCAAAGCCGGGGGCTCCTCCGCCCCTGAGCAGCCGCCCCAGCATCCAGCCCCCCACCACGTCCAGACACCAGTCCCGCTCTGGCACCTCCCGGCCCCGTGCAGGCCTCCAAGCAGCGCCATGCCCGGCCGGGCCGAGCAGCTGGGTGGGCAGCCCCATCCCACCGCAGAGACCCGGTGGGCTGCAGCCGCCTCCAGCGCAAGTGGGGAGCGGGTCAAGGGCACGCTGCGGGCAGAGCTCCTGGATGCACAAGTACCGGCAAGGGCAGAGCCCTCCCTTGCGAGGGCATTTTACTTGCTCTTGCTTATCAAGAGCGCACAAACAGGGATTCCCCCTCCCAACCGTCACAGCGACGGGGGCCGGGGTGGAGAAAAGTGACTCATAGAAATGAGGAGAAAACTGCTGCGACGTCCGCGAGGCAGCTCGCCCGCTCGCCCGGACGCCCACACCTGAGTCACCCCGGGAGGCGAGCGGGGAGCGCGCTGCCTCCTCGGGGAGCAGCCGGCCCCGCTCCGCGCGCTCCCCAGCGGGCTCCCACCATCCCGACCTTCCATACAGCCTGTGCAAAAGTTGGAAGAGGCAGAAGAACCAGAAAATAATAATAATAATAATAATAATAAAAAATAAAATAAAAAAATAAAACCACATTGAAACCAAACCCAAATGCCGTGTGGCTGAGCAGAGGCAGGAGTAACTGGAAGCCATGCACAGCAAAGCCAGGGACTGCAGCAGTCGGAAGGGGAGAAGGGCGGCTGTTCTCTTCAGGGGGAGCGGTCGTCTTCTTTTTTTTCTGAGAGATCAGGAAATAAATAAGTTTAAATAGCTCCTCCCGCTGCCGGTGTTGGGCGAGGCGACTCAGAAATGGAGGGTGCGGAGGGGAGGGCAGCAGGTGCTGGCCAGCACCCGAGCCCGCGGGGTCCGGGACGGGCGGGTGCGCTGCGTTCCCGATGCACGGCCGCCCCCCGGTCCCAGCGGGTCGCGCTCCTGGGTGGGTTTCCTCTTCCCCCCCCTTCTCTCTCTACTTCTTGGGCTTCTTGAAGATCTTTAGGGGGAACTTTTTCTTGCTCTGGCCGAGGTCAACCTCATCGCCTGTCAAGCTGCTGTCCTCGTCCCCCGGGCTCTTCTTGGCAGCCAGCTGCGGGATGCGGGTGCTCTTGGTGCCGCTGGGCCGGCAGTCAGAGATGGGGGAGGGGGTGTCGGGGTCGGTGGAGCTGGGGCTGTGGGAGCGGGAGGAATCCGAGTGGCTGTGCTTGCCGGCTGTCGGGTGGCTGATCTCCCCCAGGCTGGAGGACTTCTCCATGCCGTGGTTCACCATCATCATCTTCTTCATCACCATGGGGCTCTCGGGCAGGCGCTCCGGCAAAGCCCCCAGGACGGAGGCCTCCGCGTGCCTGCTGCCGCCGTTGGGGGTGGGCGCGCCGATGGCAGGGTGGCCGGGAGCAGCCTCCTCGATGGACCTGGTCAGCAGGTTGGGCCGGGCAGCCAGCAGCTTGGGCGCAGAGCTGGGGATACGCTGGTGGTCGCTCAGGTGCGGGATGGAGGAGTCGGAGTCGCAGCGAGTTAAGTCTCTGGGGTGGAGAGGGCGGAGGGGAGAGACAGGTCGTTAGCGCCGCTGGCCCGGCAGCCCGGGGATGCGCGCCCGAGCCCGCGTGCACACACGGATGCAGCAGCTGAGGGCGGCCGGCGGGACGGCAGAGCAAGGGAACCCCTCGGGGCAGCCCCGTCCTGCACCAGTGGCTTGCAGCCAGCCCCCGGG